CCCCCCCCCCCCCCCCCCCCCCCCGAAACATTATTCTGTGAGAATGGGTGTGGGTGGGTGTGTGCAAACCATGATTCACATATGGACAACCCTCAGGAGTCGGTTCTTCCACCATCTGGTTTCTGAGGATCAAACTCCGTTTGTCAGGCTTATCAGCAAGTGTCTTTACCCACTCAGCCATCTCACTCCCCTCCCAGTCATCGTTCTCTACATATTTCCTCTCTGTTTTCGAATAGAGAATAACATCTGTGTTTAATTTATTTTTTTCAGACAAGGTCTCATATCCCATTCTGGCCTCAAATTTGCTGTGTAGCTACGAATAAACTTGAACTTGTGGTCCTCCTGCCTCCACCTCCTGAGTGTTGAGATTACAGTCACACACCAAACACCAGTGGTGGTGGTGGGGGGGGGGGGTTGGTTTTTTTGTTTGTTTGTTTAAACTAGGGATAAAATTCAGGGTTTGTATGTACTGGGCAAGCCGAGCTACAGCCCCAGCCTGTGCATACATATTTAAATTAAAATACATAGATGTCGGGCTGGAAAGACAGCTCAGTATTTATAAGAGCACTTGCTGTGCGAGCCTGGGGGACAAAAGCTGCATCTCAGCACCACACAGTAAGCCTCGCCTCGCCCACCCAGGAGAGGGAGGATCATGAAGGTTGTGGGCTGCCAGCCTCCCTGAAAATTGTGAGCTCCGGGGTCAAGGAGAGACCCTGCCTCAAAAGGAGTAAGGCAAAGAATAATAGAGGAAGGGGTGTGTGTGTGTGTGTGTGTGTGTGTGTGTGTGTACATGTGTGTGTGCGTGTGTACAGATGCATGCACACCCATACACTTATACATAATATATGACACACAAAAAAGAAAAATAACTTGAAAGCTGATTAGAGAAAGATTTGGACGTAATTATGTGAAACCAGAACTTCCTTCCCCGTCCGATAAGTGCACGCACGCACGCACAGCTCTCCCTCATGGTGTTTAGGAGTGAGACTCGTCCTTGTAATATCCATTATGTGAATCTGTCAGGGTTTACTCAACTGATCCTCATTGCACGATCGTCAGAGTTTGTTTTTATTAGAAGGTTCATAATAATTATCAAAGTTATAGGAGAATGCTATTTATTCAGGGTTTCTCTTCACATGTTTTTGGGGTATTTGCACAGGATAAATTTCCAGAAGTAGAAGGGCTAGAGATGGGGACACTTAGAATTTGAGGTGTGGAGGAAGTGGCTTCGTGGGTAAGGTGCCTCTCACACAGCTGAGGACCAGAGTTCAGTCCCTGGCGCCCACATAAAAGCTGTGCCTGAGGAGCTAGAGAGTGCTCAGTGGTTGAGAGCATCAGCTGCTCTGCCACAGGACCCAGTCCGGTGGCCAGCAGTCACATGGTGGCTCACAGCTTTCTGTAACTCCAGTCCTGGGCATCCTGCTACCTTTTCTGGCTTCCATAGGTGTGCCAGCAATGCATAGGCACACATGCAGGCAAAATACCCATACATGCACCAAAAACCCTAATTCCAGGCCTCCTGTGCCTGTAATAGTGTTGGTAGGACAGACTGGCAGACCTCCAGGGCTCACTGCCACCCAGGCTATTCAGGGAACCCCAAGTCTGCAAGAGACAGTCTCACAAACGAGGTAGACAGCTCCTCAAGATGGACATCTGGCCTGCATACACATGAATACACACACACACAAATCGGGGTGGGGACACTTTGTCTTACACTTAGGTCAAAGGTTCTGATCCGTTTGGCTGCCACTGTTGCTGTGGACAGAATGGTGGTGGGGGGCATGGCAGAGGGAAGTCAGTCACTTCATGGAAGCCAGGACACACAATGTGCACCTTTCAAAAGCTTGGTGTGGTGGGGCACACCGTTAATCCCAGCACTCGGGAGGCAGAGGCAGGTGGGTCTCTGTGAGTTTAACGACAGCCTGGTCTACAGAGCGAGATCCAGGACAGGCAGGACTATAAAGTGAGACACTGTCTCAAAAACAAAAAAAAAAAAACAGCCCTTTGACTTCCTCCAGTGCGGTGGGTCCCGACCTTCCTAATGCTGCGGCCCTTTAATATGGCCCTTCGTGGTGTGATGACCCCAGCCATAAAATTATTTCATTGCTACTTCATAACTAACTTTCCTATTGTTATGAATTGTAAATATCTGATATGCAGGATACCTGATATGTGACCCCCAGGTTGAGGACCACTGTTCTAATCCCATATTGCCCTGTCTATTAAAGACTCACTGATGAGTGCCCTCAGGGTCCAGTCAAACATCTCTACACATGAGCTTTGGAGGAGACATTTGATACTAAAACATTGAAAACCAAAGTGAATTCGATGATTATGTGATCCATATATATATGTGTGTCTGCTTATCTTGGGGTATAATTGCTGTGATCCCACTGTTTCAGCACCTCTCGCCTGTCTCTCTTGATCTGTACACTGTTTACTAAATTTCTTTTTCAGTGCAATGCCCTCAAGTGAGAAGAGTTACAGCCATCCCTTCTAACCTGTGGACCATCTGTTCCTAGGCCCTTGGACTGGACAGTGCCAATGAGAAGGGCTTCCCTTCTAACCTGTGGACCATCTCTTCCTAGGCCCTTGGACTGGACAGTGCCAATGAGAAGGGCTTGTACCGAAGGGGTGAAGCCCAGCTGCTCATGAATGAGTTTGAGTCGGCCAGAGGTGACTTTGAGAAGGTACTGGAGGTCAACCCTCAGAATAAGGCCGCAAGACTGCAGATCTCCGTGTGCCAGAAGAAGGCCAAGGAGCACAATGAGCGGGACCGCAAGGTGTACGCCAACATGTTCAAGAAGTTTGCAGAGCAGGACGCCA